TACCGGCGGCTCCCCCAGCAGCAGCAGCAGCCGGACCTCCGCATCAGGAGGCAGCACTCCTCGGACAGCGTCAGCAGCGTCGCCAGCGCCACCAGCCACTCCAGCGTGGGCTCCAACCTGGACACAGACGCAATAAACAAGAAGAAGAACAAGAAGAACTGGGTAAGATGCTGGGAATAAAAAAAGAATGTCACCTTAAAAATCTAATAGCTTTCTGTGTGTGATTAGCTACTAATAAGCAGCCTGCTGGACTCATGGTGGTTTTTTCTTTTTCTCTTTGTGTAATTGTATGTGTGTCTGTGTCACTTGTTCTCACATGTATCTATCTATCTATTTAGGGAACTTTCTCTGGGGATAAGGTGAATACACTACGGATCTAAATACAGTCCTGTTGAATAAAATGTAGTGATTGATTTGGTGATTTTCAGGTCAAAAAACATAATTTACAATTGACTAAATGTAGTTGTAATACTCTCCTCTAGACCTGTAAAATGACCAAATCAATGTTTACTGGCTAGTGTCTAGTTCTAGTGTCAGCTCATTCTTACTAGTGATCATACTAAATACATTTAACATACTCACAAACTTTTCGTTTTTGTTGTGGAAAGACTCTTTTGTGCACCGGAGGACAAATCCGGGATGACGATGAAGACGTATGCCACTTTTTTTTCCCTCTCTGTCAACCCCCGTAGACTGAAGCGATGTTGTGTTAACCGCCTGTGGTCTCTATCTGATCCTGATGTTGCCGTGCTTTGTGGTAGCTGTTAGGAGCCGTGTAGAGTTTCCTGGTTTAGGTCACAGTGATAATAAACACCCCTCCTGTGTGTGGATGTGCCTCCAGCTGTCAGTCTGTGGAGGAGACCCCACAGGAGGCTCCATACAGGTGCAGAGTATGATGTGGAGTGTATAGGGGCAGTGTATGTTTTAGAGTATATAATGGATCATGAAAGACCCTGTGTCACGGTGGTGGTGAAGTAGCGTCTCCGTGCAGCTGCCTACAGGTCAAATTAAAATCAGCTTTCGTCTCGTACGGGTCCGGTCCGTCCGGTTTAATCTCTGTCCCTCCATAACGCATTAACACACCCATATGAACACGTGCTGTTTTGTCTCTCTGTCTTCCTTTGCTTCGCTTCATGTGGCAGGTCTATGAGGTAAGAATGGTACGCTGTGTGAAATCTGAGCTGCGTAACCCCCGCACTCTCTCTAGGTTACTAACCTCTTTTCGTTTTTCCTCCTGTCCTCTGCTGCCAACGTAGTGCCTGTCCTCTCCTCCCCAACACTGCTCCTCTTATGAAACTTGAGCCAGCTTTTGAAAGGACATATCCATCAGAAAATAGTTGAACACTGCCAGAAACAGGGTTTTGATGTGACATAATGTTGAGAGCCTGTCAGTAAAGCTACAAAGATGTTTAAAGACAACAAATCCATAAAGATGTCACAAAAAATTCAAAGACTTGTCCGCTTAGCACAAATTAAAAAAAAGCTAGCAAATAACAAAATTAATTAATCATGCATTTTTTAAATATGTCCCTACTCTAAATTAATATTTCTTATTGACTTATATCCAATTTTGTATCCAGTTTATTTAACCTGGTTTTATCAGTTTCACAATATTCCAAACAATTATAGTTAAAAAGTTTTTATTGACAAAAAAAACAATGCTCCACCTTTGCATAGAGCTGTAGCTCAAGTTATAAGACAGTCTACCCATAATTCCTTTTCTCCCTGTGACTCACTTCCTTTTTCACAGCTTTTTTCCTCCACTCTCCCCAGCACAATCCTCCTCTTCCTCACTGCAGTGTGTTTCTCGGTGTGTGTGACCCTCTCCTGCTCACTGTTTCTCTTTTCTCCTCTGTTTTCTTCCTGCAGCTTCGAAGCTCCTTCAAACAAGCGTTCAGCAAGAAGAAATCTCCCAAGTCAGCCTCTTCCCACTCCGACATCGAGGAGATGACGGACTCGTCGCTGCCCTCCTCCCCCAAGCTGCCCCGCAACGGCAGCACAGCCTCCGGCCACATGCTCAGGACCACACACTCCAACTCACTGTACGTAGACTAGGGCTTATACATGAAGTCATGTCCGTGAACAACTTTCAAATTCTTCTTAAATCACAATATGTCTTCACACTAAACATGTTATGCTGCGTTTGTGTGTGTGCACAGATTGTCGGATTGTTTGGACAGCGAGGCGGAGACGGTGATGCAGCTGCGCAGCGAGCTCAGGGAGAAGGAGATGAAGCTGACGGATATCCGCCTGGAGGCTCTCAGCTCCGCACATCAGCTGGACCAGCTCCGAGAGGCCATGAACCGCATGCAGGTCTGCACACATACAAATATAAAAACTATTAGTTAAGGAACTTCCCATTAAAGGTTTAGTCAGCACTGAATCACAGGGCACACAAAGTCATTGCTGAACAATCATGTTGCAGCAATTACTATTCTTCACTTTAGAGTCTCCCTCTAAAGTATTAATGTGCTTACTGCTTAAAAGTACAAGCTAATTTGCTTCTCTTAGTTTGCAACCCACTAAATTGTTAGTGTTTATTTTGACAGTGCCCACGGTTAGAGTTTGATTTTATTAACGTGTCATTTCCAGAAATTGGAAATAACACGTTTAAGCACTAAACTGACTTAAATTAACATAAATTGGCCTGAAGGAGCTATACTAAGTTCAGAATTCATTACAATTTTCTGTGTGTGTGTGTGTGTGTGTGTGTGTGTGTGTGTGTGTGTGTGTGTGTGTGTGTGTGTGTGTGTGTGTGTGTGCAGCTGCAGATCGAGAAGCTGAAGGTGGAGAATGACCGTCTGAAGGTGGAGAATAAGGGCAGCAGGATGGGCTCCCAGGCCTCCATCTCTTCCTCCCCTCCCTCTCACAAACATAGCCAGGCCCAGGGAGGGGGGCCGGGCCTCCCCCAGCACAGCCTCAACCTCACGACCAGCGAGTCCACCAGCCTGGGTAACACTCCTGCTACATCAATCTGAGATACAGAAGATTCCTCAACCCCATGTCAAGGATAACACATGGGACATCAAGTCAAATTAAACTTGAATGTTTTTTGAAAATCTGTTAGTGTAGTGTCTTTTTGCAGTGACGGGATTGGATATCGTAGATGGATAACATTTGAGTGTTTCAAATCACAGATGAACCCTTGCCTTTTCCATTGAAAATGTCCCAACCTTGTCTAACTTTGCTCTGCTTCCTGTCAGACATGCTGCTGGACGACACCTGCGGAGAGGGGGGGTCGAGGAAGGAGGGGCGGCACGTGAAGATGGTGGTCAGCCTGGACGAGCAGGTGAGACCTGTTTGGAAAACTCAAAAACGACTTGTTATTGGGTAGGATTATTATTGTACCTGAAGGATTTTTACACATCTAAAACCAAACATGCCTTTGTATCGCAGGAGGGCCCGCTTCGCCATTTTCTGATTGGCTGCATCGGTGTGAGTGGTAAAACCAAGTGGGACGTCCTGGATGGAGTGGTCCGACGGCTTTTCAAGGTAAACATAAGGAATAACACAGGAATAAAAGCAATATCAAACCAGAGTAGACAGTGTCTGAAACACTTTTAGGTCTTTTAGTTCTTGTCAGGGTTCCTGTTGAGTTGTTTAAAAGCACCTTTCTTTCTTAATTACATTCTGAAATATGTTTATGTTCAGCAAAAACATTTCAAGTTTTGTCCTCTTTGGAAACTTTGC